TTCATTCTACAAATAGCCTGTGTCAGAACATAATTTCCCAACTCAAAAAAGAAGGAAGGAAGGAAGGGAGGAAGGAAGGAAGGAAGGAAATAGGCAGGCAGCCCTGATTTCTCTTATGGCCTCTCATCACAAGACCATACATAGTTGTGTGTATGTAGATATGTATGTGTTGTGGGGTGTATGTATGTCTCTGTATATGAACACACACACACACACACACACACACACACACACACACACACTGCTTCTGATAACTAAGACCTTCACATAAAATGAGTTTGTATTAGATAATCAGATAGTCAAGGACCCACTTACAGGTACATTAATTTCCCATAAATAGCACTTCTCAATTAAGTTCAACTTACTTTCGAGGCTTGAGAATAAGGTGAAAAGGCAAAGAAAAACTTAAACTAGAATGGTAGACACATGCCTCCATTCTCTTGCCTGTGTGTGTGTCTTAAGGAACTGTGCCTCCCACCACTGTCTTCACCTTGTCTGTCTATATACAAGGAGTAACAGTAATATGTATTCAAGATGTATCTCAACAACCAAAAGCAAAAGAGTGCTGTTGGTTTATAACAGAGTTTTGAGCATCCTTGGTTTTCCAAACTCCTATCACCAACCATGGCCAATGCTTGGGGAACTCACTGATAAGAAGACATATAGCTGCATCTCAAGGGAAACACTAGCTAATTCAGCCTTCAAGTCCACAAATGTCTTTTTGGGTTTATCTCTTTGATATAAATTTTAATTTCTATCTAACTGCTTTCTTGTACTCAGGGTCCTCTAAGGGAGCAGAACTGACAGAAGAAATATATATGTTAAAGGGGGAGTTATTAGATTGTTTTACAGGATGTGATCTGGGTAGTTCAGCAATGGTTGTCTCACACTGGAGAGGGCAAGAATTGGGTAGTTGCTCAATATATAAAGCTGGATGTCCCAGTGGTCCCAATATGGAGCTCAAGGCCTGGAACATTCCTAGAGAGATGCTCAGTTTTGATCTACATTGGAACCCCAAAGATACTGTTCTCACATCAATGAAGGGCAGTCACTGGCAGGTGCTGTTCACAATTTAGCGTGGGTCTTCCTGCTTTAAATAATCTGATCAAGAAAATCTCTCACACAAGTGCTCAGAAGTTTGTTTTAGTTGATTCCAGATGCCATCAAATGGAGAAATCAAGACTAGCCACCACATTTATCTAGTACAATTTCCCCCCTTTGCCTTAGTCCACGGCATGTGAAGAAGACATTATTATGGAGCCTCTTTCCCTGGTTAAAGTCAGTAGTGTCAAAGTGTTTCACTAAGGTATCTGTTACCAATTTGTGAATAAATAGTGTTTCCTTCATATTGGTGCAAAGTGATATAGTAGCCACTGGTTGAGTTATGAGAAAATGAAGTGGACAGTCCAACACCATTACAACAGAAATGATGTTATCTAGAAATTAAAGTAACAATGGATCCCAAATAGTAAGGCTATCCCACTTTCTATTTTTTTCCCTGAAGTGGTAACATGAAGTTTAAATTTATATTATGAATACAGCTTTACTTTTATAAGCTGAGGCACATTATTTTGGTCCATTGAGCAAACTCATTCTTATTCATTGCCTTTTAAAGTTGACATTTAACTTCCACAGCTGTACAGCTAGCAAACAGCAAAAGAAATTTTAATATTCAAGAGAGAAGATTTCAAACTACCACACGATTCTACTGTGTGGCATCCTGTAATTAATACACGTTCAGTGAAAGGAAGAATTACATATGGAATTAGTTGAAGAGGGATGGAGCTGCACATATGTTTATTTCCTTGCTCATACTCACAAACCAAATTACACAAACAAGTAATTCTTGCAATTCAAACTAGTAAGTGTTGATTTCTAAAAGACTGGTCTTCAAAAGCACTTACTAAAATTGAAAACATTTGGATCCACAGGCCTTGAATCCCTAAATCAAATAAAATAGGAATTTGGCATTCCTTTTTGCAGTTGAACATTAGAAATAAACAATTTGCTGAAGATATAACTGTGTTACAGCTACAGCATATCAGGCTCTCCACATTGCAGAATCCAAGGGAATGGAGATGTGGCAGCCTTGCTCTTCAGAGCATGGAACTCAGAAAGATGGGATTTCCAAATCATTACACACAAAGATGAATAATGCTTAGACAGAAGAGGTTTGCAGTGCTATGGATATCCAACAGGAGGGACCGAACCAGGTCATGGGAATGAGGGGGACAGTTTAAGAAGGTTTTCAGGAAAAGATTGCATGACTTAAGAATTGGACATGCACATCAATCCTCCTTCCTCAAAGACTCCATTAAAACCTCCTAAATATGTATTCCTAAATACATAAATATATGTGTATATGCATACACAAATGCATATATATATACATACATATATACACATGTGTAAAAATGTATACATATATGTATACAGCTTATAGCAATTAATGAAAAAGAGGTTATGAATTTGAAAAGGAGCAAGAGGGGTACATGGAAGGGTCTGAGGGAGAAAGAGAAGGGGAGATGATGCAATTTTATTATAATGACAAATGAAAAACACTTGACAACAAATGAAAAACACTTTAAATGAAAAATACTTTAAAATTTTTATTTTTAGAACATTTTAGAAATTAGAGCCCACAAGAACACAGAAAGCAGAAGAAACGGGAGAGACAACCTTTAAGCACTCAAAAAAAGAGGGACCTGGCTTGGAAAAGTTAATCTGAAGTCAGCAATAGGAGTTGGGAGGAAATATTTGTTCAGTGGTAAAATTTAATCCCTGCCTCCCTCCCAAGTCACTGTAGGGTAACTGGCCCATCCCTCCTCAGCAGAAGACCCACTCACTAGAAAGGAGAAAGGAGAAAGTCTTTTACCAACAGTATAATCCTATGACTTTAAAGGGTAGACTTAGTAATGATGTCCCAGCATGATTACCTTTGCTTCAAGGACAAAGGCCTTTCACTCATCACTGGAAAGACTGGGAGCCTCAAGACTGGGAGCCTCCACCAGAGATCTGACTGATTCGAAAGAGTGATCTGCATAGTCCCTTCCTGTGAAGCTCCATGTCAGAAAGTCTCACGGCTTTGCATCCCACCACTGATCATGTCTATAAATGACCAAAGACTGATTACCAGCCTAGAAACATGCCTCCAGGATAGATAGACACCTCACAAGTGAAAAACTGGGGAAAGAAAAGGAAATCCTCTCGGAGAAAACAGAACATTGTGCAGGAGGAAGAAAAATCAAGAAAAATAGTTATTCCAGATGCAGAAAAAAAAATCCTGTGGGCATGAACTTGGGAAACAAAAGGTGAATTCAAAAGAAAGGACAGAAGGTGTTACAAAACAAAAGAAAAAGTAAGAGAGAGAAAAGGCCAAGAAAATCAGAGAACCCAGACAAGCAACTCCACATCCAAATAAAGGCTTTGCAGACTAGAGCACAGAAGGGGAGAGATAAATC